TGCTTTATCTAACAATGAATCTAGACAGAGGGTCTGATGTGGAGCTTTATATGTAATGAGTTATTTAATTAATGAAGATAGATGTGAAAGCAGAGGCAGCACACTACTACTGAAGGTAAGATTAGCAACCACGGACTTGTGAACTAAAGGCCACCAAGATGCATAGCTGTCAGAGAACACATGCTTTTCTTTGTAGAAACATCATCAAACCATTTCAGAATCTCATCCAATAAAACAAGTTGTCAAATTAGAAGCAAGAAATATAGGAAGAGCAACGAGAAGGAATGAGGCAAATAAAAAAAAGTGAAAAAGGCTGGGATCTGTAAGTATTCAAGATCGATGTGTGTATGCGTCTATGTGTGCATTCCAAATACAAAACCATTATCAGATATTAATTACAGCATATGGTATTAATTACAAAGGTTTCATTCCTCAAGGGAAGAGCTAAATAGTGCATCATTTCATTCATTTGTAAAAGTAGGAAAGGACATATTTTAGAGATTTTAAATTCAAAATTGGTTCATATTTTAAAAGCATCTTTGTGAGTTAAAGTCCTGGATGTGTAAAATTCATATATGAATACTTTTGACAAACATAGATAAGAAATGTGACTTCTTTATGTTTACTAATTTTAAAATTTAAGTATACAGTTTTCACAGGAATTAAAATGAATATTAGATAAGATTGGCTAAATGAGCCTCATAGATTTATTAGAGTACAGGCTATTATGTTGGAATATAAAATATTTCCAGATTCATTTGGAACTAAATATTTTAATATGTTGCAATTACTTTCTTAAAATTCTGGTTTAAAATTTATCATTTATCTTTATTTTGCCTTTTCCTTGTTCATCATTAAACTGTGAAATTCTGCAGATCACGGACAATCGCCTCATGTCATGCAGACCGCTAGAGGGTTCTAGTTTCCTCTTTCCCAGGCCCTCTGAGACCAGACCTGCCCAACATCTGGTGCTACTGCACCATCTAGTGGCTTTGGAATCACTGCTGTCTGAGTGTAATTTGCTTATTGTACTGCCTTTGAGAAAATACTGTGGCATGTATTTTTAGAAAATATTAAGAATTCTAAACAGCAATGCCAAATTCATGAAAATATTTTCTTCTAAAATTCACACTTAAATCATTTAATAATGACTTTAATTCTTAAAATGAAATGAGAGAAATTCACAGTACATAGTAGTTGTGTACAGCCCAGATTTAAATGACCATTCATTTACATATACTGCATATTTATTTAAATGCACTGTACACTGCTTCATGGAGATAAATCACACACAATTTAGACCAGTGAATAGGAACAATTACCTGTTGACAATCACGTGTGTGTGTGATTACTGATATATATATATGTATGTGTGTGTGTAAAAAACACATATATATTTGTTTGTTTTTACCCCCCTACTTTTTTAACAGGCCTTAAATAATTTACCACTTGTAGGAGTCAGTTAAGACATTTAAAATATTTGATCAAATCTTTATGCCATTATTTAAACTGCACATTTACAAAATAATCCTTAATTATTTTTCTTTTAAAAAGGCATTCTTCAGAATTTTTTAACTCTAACTTCCTTGCTAATATCTAGAAAATGTTCCTCTTTCACATTCTTACAAATGTTTCATTTTCTGTCTAAGTCCTAAATAGAGGACTTGATCATGTACTCATAAAGCAAAAGATCAATGTTTAAGGTAAAATTAATGTGACTTGCTCAAAGAAAGCTTCTCATTGCTACTTGCTTATCTCCCATAGCATGAGTAGTTCTCATAAGTCATCTGTTATAATCCATAATCCCAAATTTCACATTATTGCCAGTCACACACAAATAACTTGCTCAATATGCCTGAAGCAAAGGTAAGGCTAAGAAGATATTTATTGAAAGCAAAGCAAGCCAACCGAATCCCAACAGAACCTGTGTTGATTTCATTTTGAACACGAAGTTATGAAATCTTACAAATAATTGTAAATCAGGAATCAGTATGGGCTCACTTTGAAACAGTGGCAGCAAATAAACCAAATTTCATTCTTTCTTTTGAAAAATACTGTGCTTTGATTGATAGTTTAGAAAACTACACCTTGCACAATGTCACTCTGCTAAGTGGATGAATGAATTTGGCATATGGTTTATAGCAGGAATTACACATAGACTTTTTAATGTAGCTAAGGGATCAAGAAATATAGATTAGATGTCGGACAATTAGGTGGATTTTAATTACTGATTGATGAATTAAGACCCATAGGGATAGAAGTTTCTAGGATCAGCTCTCAGAGCTTTTTCTTTGAACCTGTCCTACTCAATATCTGGCAAAAATAGAGAAGCTGGAGGAGAGAGATACTATACTAACAGCAAGTTGGATGAGAAGAGGGTTCAAAGTTATTTCAATTTAATAGAATAATGGGTCCAAATCAGTAAAATGGATATAAAATAACTATCTCCCAGACTTGAAGGTGTATGCGCAGCCTTCACAGTAATGATGCTGGCCTGTATCTCCTACAGGAGATCATCCAGACGATGGCTACACACACCCAGGGAGAGGAAACCCACTAAGGAATATCTCGCTTTATTGCGCTTTGCTTTATTGTGATTCACAGGTGTTCACACCTTTGTTTTGTTTTTGTTTTTAAGTAACAAACTGAAGGCAAGACTCTCCATCAATAAAAATATTACGACTTGCTTTACTGCGATGGTCTAGAACTGAACCTGCAATATGAAGGAGCCATCATTTGAGGGACGGGTCCAACTAAAATTTGCATGTTTAGGTTTAAAAGAAATCAGTTACAGGTACAGGGGATGGACAAGACCTAGTTTTCAGCAGTTTTTCTTTTTTTTTAATTCAGATGACCTAACAGAAAATCAACTGTTAAAAGACTTAACATTATCTTTGACTCTGTTAAGAGATGTCCATTAACAAGACCTGTTCTCTCAACTTGTGGTGTGGAAAACTGAAAAAGACACAGTGATAACGTGAGTATATCTAGAAAGATGTGGCTGAGAGAACTGAGGGTGTCTGGAGAAATGAAGGTGCCAGTGGTTCATGCCAGTGTTATGAGGAGCACCAGGGTCAGGAAGTGAAAATTACAGTGTGATAATTGGAGTTAGCCCAGTCAAGGGACCAGAGAGCCAAACACCACTGTAAGAAACAATTCAACATGGCAAGAGA